AAGCACTATAGCTAGACCAAAAAAAAGTCCAGTTTAGGCACAGATCAGGGTCAGGCTGGCATGCCTTTCCTCGTGTCATGTGATCACGAGGAAACAGATTGCACTGGACCACATGCAGTCAAAACTGTGATCTATACTCAATGGGATCACACCCTCATTCTAATCACTAATATGTTTCCTGAGGAGGTTTCCCATTCGCATTCTTTAGGAAAATTAACCATTAAATAACCACTCTCCTGCATCAGCAGAAAACTGTAGTTTAGATGTGCTGGAGTTGATTCTGTCATTTCTCCTACCCTTCAGCCTTGCCAGCTCCCTGATTGGAGGAGGGTACAGAACTGAAAGTGTTCGGGAGCCCAGTTCTCATTTTGTTTTTTGTTTTTTTAAGCAGAAGGGCAGGCTGCTGCATGTTTAAAACGATCCCCAGGATATTTCCAAGAAGACCAATTATTCTTTCACTAAAATATGTCCAGGAAAAAACAGAAGGCTGAAGGAAATCTGGAGAGAGGACAAGAATGGGTTAGACTCCATCGTGCCATACATCCTTGCACCCCTAGCTGAGCTTATAGTTCCAGTTCAAACCCTAAGACCTACCGTCTTTATGAGACCAATGCTACTTTTGCAATTCAAGATTTCATAAGATATTCAGAGGAAGATAACTGATTTTCCCCTTTGAGAATTATGGAAACTAGTTTCAACATGTGAACAACTGCATTTTTAATCCTAGATGCTTCTTGCACCAATGCTGAGGGTATCCCAGAGTCCAGAATACAACCAACATGGCCAGGCACTGCAGAACACAACCAAGAGATACCACAGTTGTTAGAGAGGCATGACTCCAGACTTCTTGAGTGCTGCCAGGGAGCTACTCTGGACTTTAGTAAATAATCTGGTTACGTAGAGCTAGGAGGTGGAGGTTCAAACCAAACACAGGGTGCATTTGTTTGGTTGTTTGTGCCATGTTCCTCACTGTCCATTTTGACACTAATTCTTGCTGCAGAGGGTCAGCACAGTAACCCATGTGAAATCTCCCTGTCCAGTTATGTCTGGCTCAGGATGGCTGCTGTTGCTCCCTTCTCCGTGAAATGCACATGCTCGGGAGCACAATTTTCTCTGTCATCACTTTATATATTGGAGATAGAGAATATATAAAGGAGGAGGAAAAGAGGAGGGTCAGGAGTCTTGGCAGGCTTAAAGTCAGAGCATAACTAGAATTGTTGGTACCTGGAGGAAAGCTGGTCCCTGAGTTAGGGGCTGTAAATTCATTTCCAAGTTTTGGCACCTTCCAAATTTTGCCGTGCTGCTCCTCTGCCCTAGTAATACACCCCTGCTTAAAGTACTGGTTAATTAGCCTCATTGCGTGTCCAAATAGAACATGCAACAAAAGCAGCTATTAAAAACAGGTTTCCTATAATTTGAATATTCTGAGCTCTTTGTTATATATACACTGAGTGGTTCTCAGCTCAGTATCAAAGGTTGCTCAGTATCAAGGGTAGGGTTTCTTTGTTTTCTTTTTAAAATGCTTTATATGGTGGTAATAATATTTTGTAAGCTGCCCAGAGTAGTGGCATGTTCACTAAATGGACTGGGTATAAAGCTAAATAAATAAAAACCAGTATAAGCACAGGTATTTCCTAAGGTAAGACCTTTCCCCGCTTTGTTTAGTCAGAGAAGTCTGGAAAACTGCAGCACTGCTTCAGGCCAGCTCCTTCCCAAGCTGATAACCCTGTTCTCCGCCCACTCCTGATTCACCTGTAATAAACTGGATGAGTGTGCACTGTTCATTTCACTTTCCACGCCAGAACGACCGATAAAATCAGCAAGGTACTCCGGATCAAGGTAAAACATGCCTTGGGAATTTGAGACATAACCCCTCCTCTTTCCCCCAAGCTTTGAAAAATGGAGGGGCTGGTTGGGGTGGGCAGGATCTGCCTAGGGTGTGAGAACCTCTGGTTCCTCTCCTCGGGAAGGGTGTTGTGCAAGACTGCACAACAATGCATGGAGATCCAATACCTGGGAAAGTTGCTTTCAGTGGCATCAGTGCCTATAATCTCCCTGCCAGCCCAGCCACTGAGGGACTCTGGGAGTTGTAGTCTAAGACGTTTCCAAAGTTTGCTAGGGTTATTTCTTTGGAAGAAAGGCTGAGTCTTCAGTTCAGAATGTTGACTTCTCTTTCATCACATTCAGGTTGCAAGTCGATGTACATTTTTCTGGGAGTAAACCCAGGGATTTACTTAGCAGTGGGATTTTATATAGGCCTGCAGTGCCATTTGTTTTTCTTGCTTCTTTTCCTGGCTATTTCTTTAAGGAGTAAACAAATGGAAGCCTGGTTGCTCATTGGGGGCACTTTGCTTTGTGTCTTCTGTTACAAGGCACTCACTCACAGTTAACAGGGGAGGGCAGCAGAAGAAAAGAGAAGGCATTCTTTTTCTGATCTTATTTCTCCATCTCAAATTCATTTGCCAATGCTTCCAGCTGAGACTTCACTTAAAACCTCCTCTCAACAAAATCCCAACCTCCCTAGGCCTCCTGAAGCAAAATTCCTGGAACTTCTAAATATGGAAGTATTTTCTTCCTACTCTGTTTCCGCTTTAATTCTATTCACGCACAGTCTGTGTGACGGGATGTTTGTGTGTGTACTGCCATTCAGCTTATTTTGGAACGGAAAGGCTCACTTTTTGCTTACAATTCAGGAATCCAAATAATTTTCTCCCGCTCCTTGGCCAGGATGAAGCCAGAAGGTGAGCAAGGACGACCCCCGTTGATCTCCGTTAAGGGGGTTCCCATGATTAAATATTTCGCCGAAGTTATGGGTGAGGTTGAGGGTTTCCAAGCGCATCCTGGTGACTTACTGATCTCGACGTATCCCAAGTCTGGTGAGTGAAGCTTCGGATGGCATTCTCACATGCAAAAGGGAAGTGTGTTAGGCATTTGTATGCGGGTAGCTTCCAATTCTTTCCTCTTCTTCCCCACTCAAAAATTCCAAGAGAGCTTAAACCAGGCCATCTTCCTTTGAGACAGACTTGTGTGGATAAACCTAGATAGCCTGTTCTTTTCATGTGAAAGATCCTGTTTTGAGTCTATCACGACTTGTATGCTGATGGAGGCATTTTCCTGCCTCTCGGGCCTGTTTACTTTCCAGTAATGACAGTCTCCACCTTCTCCATACCTTTGCAAGGCTGCTTTCTGTCTTAAAACAAACAAACGAATTCATCCACCTCAGTCAACTCCTTATGAGAAGACCTGGCCCAGCCTTTGTGGAGCAGGACCGTGACAGTTACACAACTCAAGTCTTGCCTGTTTCCAGTCTCCCTGTTGGTCAGACTCCTAGCCAGAAGTGTGGTAATGAGGCAGCCAGTCTTGCAGTGGTGCTAGGCCTCACAGCCTAAAATAATCCATACTTTTCGATTTGTAGGAACAATGGCATCATTTTCCACCTCCCTGTTCCTCTGAGCATAGCTGTAGTCCACATATTAGGTGATTAGAGGGTGAAGGATGATTTTGCCTCCCAGGAACAGTATTTTGTAAAGGAGTTTTGGTGGCTTGGTCCTCAGCATGCAGTTAAAATCTATTAGCTATTTAAAAAAGGCCTCCTCTGGTCTGAGGTGAAAAGTGTTAGAAGTTAATTTTTAAGAATCAACACAGCTATCTGCACTCTTATTTTTGTTTTCCTGTTTATTTGTTTGTTTGTTTGTTACATTCTTGGGGTATGTAGCTATGGGTGTTCTGTCCTTAAGCAAAGCATGAAGTTTACCTCCAAATTTTTGAGTTAAGTACCTCTCCCTGCCTTGCCAGTGCCTTTTTCCCATTAGCCGTTCTGGCTTTCAGGGTTACGTTTCTATCCAGGCCAATAAAGCCACACCTAATGTTCACCTAGATGAAAATTTTAGAGGCCCTCAATTTCAAATACACAACAACACTTGAACAGCCAGTAAGAAAAACTACTAAAGGAGCACATATTTACTGTAGAAGAAGGTTGAATCAGGTTGTAATGAAAGAATGGCATGGACAAGGTGAGAAGACTGGAATTGGCCTCAATGTATTTAAAAATATGGATAGCTGAGGCATGG